GTGCAGGAGTGCTCCAGATGGGATGTATCTTTAGACAACAGGAACTTCATCCAGTGTAACTGAGAGATAGCTTCCTTCAGAACTACAGACAATGACTGACAAGTGGTACAGAGAGAGCTATTTTGAGGATCCCCTGAGTACTGAATGATCTCCTCACTTCCGTCTTGCCACCAAGGGCCCAGACTCCAGCAAATAAAACGGATTCCCTCTGGGTAGCGATTTCCTTTGTCATCTGTCACCACTTCCTGTCTGTGAAGAGCAGGTAATGACAGCATGTATGTGTTGCAAACCGGGTGGGATCACCACAAGGACTCAGCAGCAAAACATGCTGTTTTCCCAGAAATGTTTTATACTGTTTGGTTCAGTCGCTTATATTTTAAAATATAGAATTCAATTAAATTAAAGTAGTTTTTTTTTACAGCATGTCTCAAACATTTAATTGCCGCAGTGGTAAGTGGTGAGTATTTAGTGTGCGTCGATAGGTCAAATGCACCATTATCATGTGCAAGACTTAAAGGGGTCCCTGAACCAAACTAAAATGATTACATATTGGCTGTTAGTCAGATATTTGTTCTGCTGCACTGCACACAGAAATTGATGTTCCATGAGCCCTGGATATTGTTCTCAGAGGTCAAAGTTTGGAATTTCATGTTGATGATTTATTGAGGATCTCATGAATAAGCCTTTCACTGTTCTGAGAAGAAAATAGTTAGAAAAAAATAGTCCACTGTGATATAGAATTTAAAACACTGTTTTCTCAACTTAAAAAAAAACATTTCATATTTTTAATCATAGAGCGTTGGTTTCAAATAAGAGAATGAACCATAACTTGTTACAAACACCGGGCTAGTTGATGTGAACTTTCTTTTCTGGCTTCCCAGCAGTGCGTAAAACCACTGCCATGGTTTATTATGATAAAGGTCATGGATAACGGATGATCTGCCTACAGTCCCCCTAATGTGAGAACAAAGACTTTGTCAAAATATATTTCAGCGATAGAGTGAGAGGGGGATAAATTACATTGTTTTGGGGATAGGTTTTCCAGACAGACCGATGTGAAGACAGGCCTCGGCTATGGATTTACTGGGACTCGTTATAGTCCGTTAATCCTTGGATCTTCTTGACTCTTTAGGCAGGTTCCTCTGCTGAAAGCCTCGCAGGGTCTGTGGCAGCTGCCCTTCCTGTGCCCACCAATAATTTCAAGTCCTGTGCTAAAATTCAGTGACAATCAGATTTAATACCATTAAAGAAAATCATACTCTATATGCAACAAAAACAACCAATCACTTGGTGGGAAACGTGTTTAATATGGTTTATAAAAGCTAATGTTCTTAGATATCTTAACATTCACTAGTAACAAAAATAATATTTACAAATCCGATTTTTTAAAGTCAAATTACAGTAAAGAAGAAGAAGAAGAAAGAAAAAAGTGTAGAGTATGACAAGTGGTGAAGCATGAGGAGTCCACATCTTTCACATGCACTCAACAACCGAGCAGTTTGGACTGAGACGGCTCTTGTTCTGTATAAAATAATCCATATGGCCGCTTGTCCAGAGCAGGGATCCCATGCCGTTAGCGGCCCATACGTTAGACTTTTATGTGCCTCGGACGGGGAATGATGAAACCGAATCGGGTCATGCCAATTGATAGACATTCTCCTCAGCTATCATTTGCACACACGATCCTTTTAAAGTACAGTGAAGAGTGGTGCCCCTCCTCCCTACAGCTATATAGTGGCTTCTCCAGAAGCTGTCATCATATTGTTCACTTAAATATTTAACCTCCTCAAGAGATAGAGCTGTAATATAAGAAATTATCCCATAATGCCTACTGAGCACTACAAACAGATGTGAAATTTCAGGGTAGACCCAGACCTTAGTGAGGCCCCCTATGGCCAAGCTATCATGTTCTGCACTGGGGTCAGACACACAGTCTCCCTTTTCATATTAACCCTGGATTTGTCTAAGGTGGAGTTAGATGGGCTGTGGTGAAATATTAGGCTCTGGACACATCTTTTAATTTGAAATCCTGAATGTTTTCCAACAACACATTGTCACAGAAAGCACATCTTAAACTCACTCACTTGTTCATGTCCTCAGAAGCAAATTGCACATGCATATGCCAAAAAAAGCAGGTTTTGGAGTGAGAACAGGTTGCAAGTTTTGTTCCATTTGCTTTTTAATCAGTTGAGATCTTGCTCTACACTAACTTAACTAGAGTTAAGTTTTAAATTTTGCTGAATGCAGCTTTATCCAGCAGTAATTCAGCCCTCGAATCACGTCACTCACTGGCTAACGCAGACAAGCCTCGAGGTCCCAAGCAGCAGATAATTGTTCATCATATTGTTCCAGTTCTGTTGCTTTTTGCTGTGATAACTGAAATTAAATCTCTATCTATTCAGAACAGCAGCCCCGTTTGTGTATTTGTTTATGTAATCTCTCTGTGGCACTTAGATTTTTTTTCTCTGCAAGTGAAACTCACTGCAGATGAAGGAAGTACAAATCCCTGCCCTCCATAGTTGGCAACAGATGACTTGCTTGTGTATCTAGTCCTGTAAAGAGAAAGAAGATTAAAATAATCCAGTTCTGAAACAGTCTCCTTCAATTATGAGCCAGCCTCGCCTTTGGAGGGATGACCCTTGGAGGCTGAAACCCATCATTACGGGTTCAGCCCACAAAGCATGTGTGGGGACTGGTGCCACACTTGTGCCGAGGTATTCTACTTGGCTTGGGTCTCCAGCCCTGGAGGCAGGGGCCCTCAAGCAGGTAGCACAGACAACACGGTGGCCTGACTGATATTCATGTGGGCCAGGTAAATGTGCCCTTCAGGCACAGGGCACTGGAGCATTACATTTCTGAGAACTGAGAGGGCTCAGAGTGGATGTACTCTGTTGTTTGCTTGCATGCAAATTTAGTGTTGCTCCCTGATGGTTACTTAGGTAAAAGTAGTGAAACCATAGTGCAGAAGTACAAGTATAAGTCCTGCTTTTTAACTTTACTTAAGTCTATAAGTAGAATTATTGGTGCATGGATGTGGAAGTATTGCTAATGCTGCAGCTGGTAATAGCAGGACAAATCTGAATAACTTTCTATAGTGCAGGGTATATTAATATATTTATATTTATATTTTCTTCAAAGTGTAACGTACTCAAATACAGTGCACGTACACCTTAAAATTATACAGCACAGTAAGAAAATAAAATTAGTTGCGTTCCACGAGCTCGTTTTAATAATCTTATAAACATAATACTGAATTAAACTCTCCAGACAATTTCACAGTGTAAAAAGTTACAAATTGGAAAGAAGGATGAAGAAATGATAGTAATAAAAACTAGAAAGGCCTCTGAACTTGCTTTCTACTCTATTCACTACACATGATGAGGATCTCAGCTCCTGTATGATAAACATCCTCTTTGTCCCATCTGTAACCCTGCTCCGCAGACAACAGGGCAAAATGTGGCCTGAGAGAGATCATTTGTTCCCAGATCTTCAGATGAAAATATTTTTCATTTGAGCCCAGGAGGGGATCTCCTGCATTGCCAGCTTCTATTGTGTTCAAACAAGGCGCACAAAAGTCTTGTCAATTAATTTTTCTTTTATTCCAGACCACAGAGGCCTGGGCTAATTCAATCATCAACCAATTAAGAGGTGTTTCCTTTTATTTACAGGCTTTGATTCCATGCGCATCCATATTGTTTGAAAATAAGTGCGGGGGTGTTAAATCATTTGAACATTTCCTCTGCCTGCTTTCTGTCGTATCCCCTGGGTTTCTAGCACAAATGAGGCACGCTACGTTGCGCACAACTCTCTCAACTACCCACACCCAGAGTGGTTCCCAGTACAAAAACAAAACAAACAACAATAACCACAAAGAAAACAAAAAATAAATCCTATTAAGAGGGTTCATACTGACACACGGGAAAAAGCCGTTTTGCGTGACAAGGCCTCGGGAATAAATGGAGACAGGTGGAATATTAACATCAAACAGGCGCAGTCTGAGTCCAGTCCAGGCAAAAAGTTGAACTCCTGAACCTCGTGGAAGAAAGTTAAAGGTCTGATTGCTTGTTGAAATCGGGTTGTTGGAAGTGACAAGCGGAAAATGTCTCTGTCTTACGCACAGATTCCCTGACAGGCTCTAAAGCATTGATACGGGTTCATTTCCCATTTTATTAGAATACCAAAGGGTTTGACACCATAATCCATATTTTGGTCGGACTGACTGAGCTGTGAAGAGAGACAGACACAGTTGGCTTTCCAAAATATTTAAACGGCCGATTTAACTTAGAAAAAAGGGGGGTGGTGGGGGTTGAGAAGGGCCTTTATTGAATACAAAGCTGTACAATCGGAAACAAACAATGACCTCATAAGGATGCCAGTTTTTAAAACGACATTATTCGGTGATATTGTACAACCATTATTCTCTAAGGAATATAAAAGTCTTTTTGTTATTAAAATCAAGAAAAGACCTGCCTGAAATCACTTCAAGATCCACACAGGAGATAAAGCAGATCTTATATAATGGCACCAGGGTGTTTTCCCTGATTATATTCATCCAACACACAAAGAACGGTAGGAAAATGACACATAAGCCGGACTTAAAATAAATGACTTTTATTCAAACATCAACGTGAGTTTAAATAAAACACAGTTCAGTCTAAAATACAGGTCACGTTTCTTCTTATGAAAATAATTTCTGTACATAAGTGTCCTCTTCTTCAAGACAGACACAACCCAACAGAGCAGCTGCAGTAGAGTATAAAAATAAGTAGGTTTACATCAGTTCAAGGCTTCATCTCCGTGGGAAGGTGTGTGAACTTAATAATGTTCTACAATTAAACGTTTGTTGCACCAGTATGGACAACCATAGTGCCACTGGCCCTTTTCTAATACGCTGAAATATTTTTTGCATAGTGAAACTCTCAGGTTTGGTTCCATGGTAGAATTTACAATGATGCCTATACCAAACCAATAAATGAATAACATGTCATAACAACGGGCTACATAAGAAATGTGAAGGCTAAAGAAGACTGATAAATTAGTTTGTCGGTAACCAGGCCAGAACCGACAGGCAGACCGTCTACACCTCTGTTCCTTCTCGGCTGTATATGAGGTTATTGACGCTAAAGTGGTTGGAGAGGCTCTGTACTGATGTGTAATAGTTCATTCTATTGTTGTCAGAGTTCAGAGGAGATATTAATGTGGGCGAGTAGGAGCCCAGTCCAGACATGCCCTCTCTGGTCTGAGACAGTCCCCCGAGGTGGCCGGAGCCATAGTCGCGCTCCCCGCCGCGGGAGCCGTCGGTGTTGCCGCTGCCCGCCAGCAATGAGCTCACGCTGGACACGAAGCTGCTGAAACATGGGCTGTGCTCCGCGGGGGGAGACGGAGACGGCTTGGGCTCCGCGGAGCCCGGGGATCCGTGCAAACTAGGCGGGGAGGAGCTAGTGAGGCTGGAGGCGTCGGAGAGCTTGTGCGGACCGTCTTCAGATTTCACCGGGAGAGAGCTGCTGTCCGCTCCGCTGTCCGCTCTCCTCTTTCTCTTCCGCCTGAAGTTTCCGTTGTCGAACATCTTCTCACAGTTGGGGTCCAGTGTCCAGTAGTTTCCCTTACCTGGATGAGAAACAAGGGTTAAACATATTGGAAACAAACTTGCAGCGTAAGTTTTAGCTGTGGTTGTTTACCTGGCTCTTCAGACACAATAAGCAACTGATTAAGGCCTATCAAAACTAGCATCTGTACCTTACCACAGGATTCAAGCAAACTCTTGAAGCATATTCAGTATATATATATATATATACACACACACATATATAAGCTATTCATTATATAGTGCATGTCTACACGCACACACGCAAACGTAGTACGAACAAATCAAAAACCCAGGGACTCACCGGGGTCATCTTCGTCCCGTGCCACTTTCTTGAAACAGTCGTTGAGCGACAAGTTGTGGCGGATTGAATTCTGCCATCCAGCTTTGCTCTTCTTGTAGAAAGGGAAGTTGTCAGCTACATACTGATAGATCTGACTGAGAGTCAGCTTTTTGTCTTGGGCGTTCTGTATGGCCATCGCTATTAGTGCCGAGTAGGAGTAAGGTGGTCGGACCATCTTGAAGAGTTCCTGCTGGCTGGATATGGACAACCACCCCAAGTCTGCTCCACCAAAACTGGTGGGAGGCGGCAAGAACTGTCTCTGGTTTGACCCGTATCCAGACTGAATATAGGACGTGCCGTTGTTCCCGGCTAGATAAGGAGAGGAGTTGATGCTCGGCCCATTCAGCCACAGGTACGGATTGGCGGAAGGGGGGGTGTACTCTCCGAGGCCGTAGCTGGAGGGGTGCGTCGGCGGCCTCTGGGGGTGATGGTGGTGGAGATTCTGTTGGTACACACCGTAGTTGTCGCAGTACACGGCCATGTCCAGGAGCTCCTGTGCGCTGTGGTGTTGAATAGGGCTGGTCTGCTGGTTAGATGGTTGGTGTCCAAAAGCATTCATAATCCGCCCTATCCAGATTCCCAGAACCTAATTTCGTCTCAGTGTCTCTCCCTCAGGACTGAGCTCATCCTCAGAGGGAGGAGTATTTATGCGCAGAGCCCGGAGCCTCTACAGGTAGCCCATTGAAGAAAACTTTAGAGATGGTCACACCCCTCTTTTCTGTCCCGCGGCAGCTGTATTGACCCAATCTCCCTATCAATGAGCACTGATACTGCCTTTGACTGCTGAGCTTCAAGGTAGTTAAGGCATCTTCACATTAGGAACATTAGTGGTAGGTATCATTACCCATGCGTAATTACGCACAGAAAGCTAATGTGGACCATGGTAAAATACTAACATTCCTTTAAATATCCATGTGAAGTAAAAAGTGCGTCTACAACATTTCATAAATATGAAAAAAAATACATGAAGCCATATGAATAAATATTTTACCTTATCTGTTTTAGTTTCCTAATATTTAAGATGTTATTTTCCCGCTTGTTATTGGCTCTTTGTTGCTGAGACATAGTGATAGAAACTACAACGTCTGCTTTGAAACCAAGATATAACAGATCTTTTATGCAGGAGTAGCGATTATGTTTAAACACACACACACATTAATATTAAATTATGCATTAAATAAATATATCAACAGCTCGATGAACAATAAATAAGGGTCCTAACAGCTTGGCAATTCATCACAGTTCACATGTTGCTGCGCACTGATTGTAACCATGGCTGAAGTTGCTGAGCTTTCAGGACAGTGTAAAACCCAAACAAGGAAGCCCGGTGTGTGTTGGTAAAAATCCACCTTTGCTTAAAAGAAATTCGTTTGCAATACACACCTCACAAGTGCCGCAAGTTTAGTGTCAACAAATGACTCGTGGAAAATACCCCCAGCAGGCCTCTGAACAAAATGTGCCCTGGAAATAAAAAGCGGTCCACTTAGGTTCACCAACCTTTATGAATTTTGCAGAATCAATCACAGTTTTCTCCTGCTTCAACTTTTGAATTGGGTAACAAAACATTTTAATAGCCCAGATGACTAAAATTGGAGGTAAAGTTTTGTTAAATGTGTTATTTTAGAATAGGGAGAAGGAAAAAGCTGGGAATTTTGTCCTGCCTCAGTTTACAGCACGGAGACGATACGGCACTCCTTATGCACGGTACTTGGCCAGAAGGACAAAGCGAATCCTGGTGGTTTCTAGAGCCCACCTTTGGCAGGTAAATGCGCGTAAAGTGAGAGGAAACTGGACGAGACGATAATAGTTCACCGATACTTTAGTCGCGCTAATGTTCGTCTCTGACTAGTAAACACACAAACACTACAACACACGCTGGAAGTCCCTTTCAGCTGCTCTCCTACCATATTATGTTGTTATAACAGGTCTGAAATTCATCTCGGCTGTGCACTACCATATGTGACCAAGAATTTTACTGTTATAAGTGCAACATGTCTGAGTTTTTTCTCTTTAATATAATTCAATTAATAGGCCCAAAACTGTGCTAAGCCTGTCATGGCAAGCAGGGGACTCCACGGGAGGGAAGTGACATTTAACCTCCAGATGATAACAATACAACCTGTTAGGTGTCTGCCACCCAGGGCAGCTAATTACTGCTGAGTCCGAAACAATTCAAGCAAAAAGATCCCCCCCAACCCGATACATTATCTGTTATGACTTTTTCATTTTTTATAGAGATGAATGATTTGTTTTCAGTCACTATGACTTCAGCTTTTTTTAAGTAATGATTATTATTCTATACTGTGAGATAACTTGCTTTGGGTTTTATTAAAAAGAGAGAGAGAGAGATTAGTGTTGCGCTGAAGCAGCCATCACATCGCATCACACCACATTCTTCCTATTAATTATCTCTCTGTTTAAATTCGGAGATATCAAATGTGGATTGACCTCCTCAAGCCCCCAATCATTGTAGAGTAATAATTCAAACATGCATGCCCGTGTTTTGTTTGGGGACATGGGGGGTTTTCTCTAGATGAAGCCAATCACTGCTGCGTCAGAGAAGCCACCGCAGGCGCCGTCAGGCTGAAAGCAGAGGAAACCCACTGCTGCAGGTGACGCTAGATTCTCCCATCCTGCTAGTTGTCCGTTCAGGTTGTATCATTTACTGCTATGATTACAGCTAAACACCAAGTGGAATGAAAACCCTAAGGCTTGTTTTCTGCAAAACAGCCTTGACTTTAACCATGTGACAATATGAGTGAGCCATCTGCTAATTGTTTAATGCTTTGAAGTAATTACCAGACAATTAGATGCATTTAAGACCAATAAAATCTCGAGAGGTAGTATAAATAAAGTCATTAATTTTGACTGTTTAAACAAGCTGTGTAGCCAGGGGCTTGTGCTTCTCCGAGTCTCCCCCCAGTGGAGGAACAGAGCAAAAACAGACAGCACAGTGTGAGCGTTCATCTCTGTACAGCCCGGATGCAGCGGGACATGTGAAAACAAAAGCTGGAATACTCTGCACAAAGTTAACTCCTAGATGAAATACTCCGGAAATGTTGTGATCTGAAACTTGGCAGGCACCATCCCTGTCTGGCCTCGGAGCAGCCTTCGTTTCTAGACCCAGTGCTCGTTATTTCACAAGATGGTAAAGATACAGTATGAAAGGAACATTTATAATAGGATCTCTAGCTGAGCTTCTCAACCACTTTCAACAGTGTAAAGAGGTGGATAATGGCCATGATTTCAGGAGTAATATCCTTACTTCTGTCATTTACCATTTCAGATGTCAAACTGTGTCGTTTTTTGACAGCATATAGATGTTAAGAAAATAATTCACAGCATTTTAAGCTGAATGCAGAGTATTTTTACACCGTGGTTAACTAAAGAATCTGAGTACTTCTTTCATATGTCTTATTATGAGATCTAAGATGAGTCCAGAGAAATGTTCCCTCTTTAACTGATGAATGTGAAAAGAAAAATCGAAACAGATTTCTTGAGTGGAAGGGGACTTTCAGCTTGCTTCGAAGGCATTTGGATCAGTAGCCTCAATTCAGTTTCTAGCTATTGTTAGCACCTACTGTAAATATCTCCAGGTATTTGCCTACCTGTGAAACACAATGGGGAGAATCTGCTTCCCAGTAATTAAATGTTCCACTCTGTGTACTCCCCTCTGACCAATTACTGTTTGGCCCTGGCAATCTGTTTCCGGGAGCTAAGGAGGGTGCCCTGCAGACAGCCTGCTGACCGAGAGAGAAATACAACCAGCCCGGCCGTCTGCTTCACTGCTGTTTGTTGCATTAGCTTAAGTCTCTCCACCGCTGGGCAGATTTACACCTCTGCTTCTGATTATATCCTTAGAGAGCTTAGGTTACTGGTCTGTTAGAGCCAAAATTACACTGTGCTGGGCTGAGTATCAACTGCAGAGAGGTTAAATATACTCTACCTGCTCTTTTCTAGCATGGGCTTTATAAATAGCCTACAGAAACTTGGCATAGGGAGAGTCATGAAGTGAGATTTTGTAAGCAGAAATATTTGAAGTCTAAAATTCCCTCACCCAGCAAAGTGGACATGATTTGGCGTAGCAGGGGGCTGGTGGTGTCAACACAATTAATTGGACTTTAAAATTCCACATACACAAGCCAAAGGATCCTGTCACTTTGATAATTACTTCTCTAGACAGTATAATGTGTCAAGCAGGATGCACTAACAGAGTTATCCAGATGAAGGCAGCATTGCTTTAGGCATGATATCTTCAGCTTTACTCAAACCAGCCGTCCCTCAGCCACACTGCACAGCTTTCTGGGAGGCAAAATATATGAATATCCAAAATCTGATCATTGTATTGATTTTAATCCTACAGAATAAAAAAAATGGATAAAATGAAAGCAATGAAAACTGTTCCACTGCCTGTTGGAATACAACCTTGACTGTTCTCCATAACCGATTTTGCACATTGGTTTCCCTGCTGCTTTAGAATTAGCTATAATATAACAATAATAATATTATACTTCGAAAAGGTCAACAAGATGCCAGTGTGCCATAGCGCCCGACGTAAAGCATCGTTGACTATGATGCCATTTAACACTCTGGTGAGAATCTATGATAGATACTCATCTGTGAAATATTTCTGAAGGAACTGAGAAACACAGATACGACATCAAAAGATCAAATTACAAAGATTTAATTAACCATTTCAAATTAGTATTATGCTATTGAGAGAGCACGCCTATGGCACTGTTTCATTTCCTTGTGAAGCTGAAACTAGCTGGGAACTCTTGTTTCCTCATCAAACCACTTCTCCACCCCCAATTTCTAGGTATGTTTCCTAGCAACGAGTCTTACTGACTGCCTGGGAAAACCCACTGCTTCATAATAGCATCAGTTAATGTGGATCACCACCACTTGGCTGTCTCCCTCAAGCCAAGATAATAAGCCTGTGTACAGAGGGTACATTTTGCATTTAGTGTCAGTGCAGCACAAAATAACATTCACGCCAACACAAGCTCAAATTTAAAATGCTGACAGTTCTTCTAGTCTCTGTGTTTGTAAGAGTCACTTGTGACAGCCGCTCGTGATAAGTGATGGGAGTGTCGGTCTGGAGTGTGTAAATTTGGAGGCAGTACAGAAAAACAGCATTAAAACATGCAACCAGAGGTTTGGCTCACAGCTACCATTGCAGGTATTTGCTGTAAAGTCAGTCCACAGAATACAAAAAATGCTGAAAGGACAGTTTGCAATCAGCAGATCTCAACTGTATAAACAGTAAATCAGAATCCGTTTCTGTCATTAATTACTGCAGTACATTTAGAGGAGGGATGCTAATAATTATTTTCTCATTAATTCACAGATTGTTTGGTCTATATGACATCAGAAGCCCAGAACCATTTCCTAGGTGGTACCACCAACTCCAACCATAAGAAGCAAGCAACAATTTAAATGCATTTTTTGCAAATGTTTCTTAATTTGCACCGCTACCATGCATTATCAGCCGAGTCCTTCATTACATATTGTTGTGGCTATGGTCTTATAGAGGGGTCAGTAAGTTTGTAGCAGGTTAATCTGGTCATGATCAAATGTTGGTCAAAATTCTGTGCTGTCTGACAAGCAGTCCAAAACCTAAAGAAATTCAAGGCAAGACAAAC